GTTGGGGTTTTATTGAAACTGGCGCGCGTACAATTTTTTTCCCGAAGGGCACCCGCGAAGGTGGGAAGTATATTGTGTGTTTCCAGCCCAACGTATCCCATCATGTTCTTAATTTTAGGCATGGTTTTGAGCACTTTTTCCCAATTCTCACGTTACCGACCAGTTGACTTTTATTACTAACATGTAAATTTGTTCTTTAGAATGGATCGCTGTTGCTGTCTCAATTTCTTCACGATGATCCAGTTCTTAGACTTAAATGCAGAACATGGCAGCCATACAAGAACTATGGGACTGCAGAGCAGGTACAAGAGGATTCAAACTTAACTTGCACTAGCAAAGACAGACCTGAAACACTAGGAAACTTACATTCAATTAAATGTGTTTACAGTGGTTACAAAAACGAGTGTGAATCAGTAGTTTAAACTTGTACTGTACGTTCACTAATAAATAAAGAAGAAAGTCATGCAGGCCATGTAACAATTCAATCTTTTTTTTTCCTGTAAATAAAATGGATTGGTCTGACAAGAATTTTGTGGCCTGTTTGAACTTATTGACAAGATGTTTAAGGCTGTACATGGTCTTTTTGGTAATATGTAAAAAAAAAAAAAAATTGGAGCAATTATCTGTCCTATCTGTTGATCATCCAATGAAAAATAATAAGACTGTACGTTCAACTTTGCCTAATAGATATTGCTTGCACCACTCAGGTTGAAGAACTAGCCATCTTGTATCCCAGTGCAATGGTTATTATTGATGGTTTTAGTTTGTACCAGTCACTGAGAGCTTGCAGAAACCAGCTAGCAAGAGGTGAGGTAGATATCAGTAATTATTATGGACTGTCTAGAATTTATTCAACATGGGCATTTCAGACCTAGAGCCAGCTGAAATTTGTTGCTAGCTCAGTTAAATCGAGCAAGAAGTAGAACACAGTCTTGCTCACTCTAAACCAGAGTCCAGCAGAGTGGAAGTCATTCGCCTGCTGCATGTCCCGGCCCATTTGTGAGGAGAAGCAATATTTGGACTTGTCTTTTTATAAAATGTGCATGGGTTATTGACCAAGCGCAAGGTCATGATGGCTGGATATTGGCCAAGATCTTTTTTGCTTGTTTATCTAGGCCAAGGTCTGTACACAACCATCTTGGCCCAATAATACCAAGATTTATTAAGTGGCATACAGGACGCAATGTTCTTGATGGCTATGACGCTGTAGTTATAAATTTCAAGTGGGTAAGATAGCTCTATCTTGCCCTCTCAGGTAGCCAATCATACCAAATTTTTGTAAAATTTCAGTGGTTATGTGCATCTTGCAGTCTCAAATTTTTTACAAAGCTATGGTGGAGACTTGATTATTTGCAAGGCTAAGAAAGTCATGAACTATTGATTTGGTGGTGTTTTTGTAAAATAATGACATTTGGGAATGTCTCAGTCTTAGAGTTTGAACATCTCTCACGTGCATTTAAAATGCATTCAAGTCTCGGCTTAGCAATATAAAAAGTCAATATGTCTCAGGCTTGCAAAGAAAAACTAACTAGTCTCGCGTTCTCATAAAGCCTCGCATTTGCAATTTACCACCCCTGTCTACTTGCCAGCCAAGGTGATGAGTCACAGAGTGCAAAAGTCAAACTTAACTTGTGACTGGTTTGTAAGGAGAATTTGAATTAAATGGTATATATATCATAATGTAGATCTTGTTTTCTTTCATATGCTTCATCTGTTTCAGCTCAAGCCAGTGGTTTCTCTGAACTCATTGGTCCTCCTCCACTGGCATATAAGAAATGGAAATTTGATGGTCAAAAGCAAATTACAGATATTGCTAGCTGTGGTGAGGTGATGTTGTGAACAATCCTGGTCCTGTAACCTGTAATAATTTATTATTTAGTCAGGGATATTCAGGGCTCAAAAAAACTTGAATTCCAGCTTACCGTTAGGGCAAGTATCTCTCAAATATTGCTTGCCCTGGGCAAATCTTACTTTGCTCTTTTAATGATTTTAGCTGGCAGACAACTTGCCTGATCCCTTGCCCATCAGGTAAGTGAGGATGTAAAGGTACTTGCCCAGAAGGAGAATCTACTTGTCCCAGATGACTGAACGACATTTTTTCGAGCTCTGATGTATTTAAGAAATATCCAAGCTGGCTCATTTACAATTCCAGCCAGCTCTTGTGATCTGTGCACCTTCAAACTTTCATGAAGTCATTTTTGTCTAGTGAAATTTAAGCCAGTGTTTCATCTTGTTTGGACAGGAATGTTTTGATAATTGCCCACCCCTCCCCCCTTTTCAAAAACATGATGGCTCATGCTTTACATGATCAATTTGCATATCATTTTGTTTTAGGAGTTGTGCCACCAAACATGTTTGACCAGCTTCATACAGCCTCGTTCATAGGAGGTTTCAATGCAAACATCAGGAGCCACTTGCCTGCTATGTCTCACTACATTAGCACCGGGATGGAGCCATTTGTAGCAGTGTACACTGCAATGGAGGTAACACTGCCTCTTGTTCAGACATGTAGATTTAATTAATTGCTTTCCATAAGTTTAAACAATTTTAATTGCCATACACATGCTTGACGTCAAAGCCTGATTAGAAATTCATATTTTTAAACATACATGTATACATGTAGTTCTTCTTCTTATACTGGCAAGTCACTAAGGACACAGACAATCCAGTGAATCAGGCAAAATGCAAACCTAAATATGCAGTCAAGTAGCTAGCACAAAGTCTGGGGAAAATTGTATGTCTTGAGCGGTTTTGGTTTACTTTTAATTGGATTCAGGAGCATGTGGGGCGAGATTTTTGTACCAATCTCAAAGCACCTTAAAAACCCAAAGCAATTTACATTTGCTTTGGTTTTGCAAAACCACAGCAAATGCGAGTCAGCTATCACACATAGAAATCAAGAGCAAATAATCTAATTGTTTTAATATAAATCTATGCCTCAACTAGTAAATAATCTATGAAATCCTCTTCTCAGACTCATTAATTATTCATGTGCTGATGACCCAATCAGCTTGCATCAATTGGGTCATAATCCAAAATCCTCAAAACAATAAAAGAGTTTCCGTTTCTCGGTGTCTGGAACCCCTGATGAAAAACGAAGCACGAGTTTTTGACCTATGACAGGGTTCGAAAAAAACTTGAATTCCAGCTTGCCCTTGGGACAAGTAGCTCTAAAATTTTGCTTGTCCAGCAAGTCTTAGTGTGCTCTTTTAATGATTTAGTTGACAGATAACTTGTTTGATCTCTTGCCCATCGGACAAGTGAGAATGAAAATTTACTTGCCCAGTAGGAAAATCTGCTTGTCCGGGACAATGGGATGGCACTTTTTTCGAGCCCTGTATTACTTCCCAGACACCTCAAAATGCAGAGAAGTGGCCACCATTTTGTTAACAACCACACACTACTATAGGCCACTCACTATTTACAACAGAATAGAAAGTGAGTACCATAGCCAATAACAGAATGGCATTGGTAATAGAATGCTAGTAGATTTATATTAATTGTTAATATCAGGTTGTGCTGTTTTCATCAGGGTAGTTCACCTCCTTTGATTTCTGATGTTGCCTTAGCAGTAGCAAGCAAATTAACAACAGCAGTGCTCTCTAAGCTCACAGCAGCAAGGTACGTTAGGTTATACAGCACCTGTCCATGTGAATTGATGAGAGAAGGGATGATGCTGTTGAAAGGATGGTGAATGGTAGTTAGGGAAAATTGTGGGTCTCATAACCTTTTGATCTGATCTCAAAATCTCAGAATCATTTGTCAAAACAAGTCTTGTTTTCCTGGTTTCTTAGTGTCTTGGACTGTATAATCAGACACGTACTAAGTCTCAGTCTCGTATTTTCAAACAAGGGTCCCCACATCTTAGTGACTCTAAGATTTCACCAGTTGTCATCCCTTATTGATTAAGTACCCATGGAGACACAGTATTTCATAGATCCTTGAAGCATCTCTGACAGGTCTTACCTTATCTCCAAAGATCCTGCAAGGTTTTTCACCTGGGTAACTTGTATCTTGGATTTTCTTTCCTTGTAAATTCTAATTCTGTTGGTTATCCTTCAGGTCCATGGTTTTGTCAGTCACAAAGTTAGATCAAATGTCACCCCTGTGCTGATGATGTTATTATTTTATTTGAATGTGCCAGCTTTTATTTTAAGAGATCGGTGCTGAACACAAGAATGCTTTCTGTCAAAATACTTTTCCCTTGTGGTATATTTTTTAGGGAAAATTGTGTCTTTGGGCTGATAAATCAGTAGAGTGCCAAGTTGTTGGTTTATTTATAATATAAGTCCTTTTTTGTTTTTCTTTGTACATGTTGAGCTCTGTATCAGGGGTTTCATTAAGGACTGGGCACTGAGCAAACTGATTGGCTGTGGGGAATATTTATGGCAAGGGGGTTGGCGGGCGCAGTCAATAAAATGTGGGGTTTTGTATGTGGCTGGGAGCAGTATTCCCCTAGTCCCACAGCTTCAACTGTACTATACATTTAGTAAAATCTTCAATTTGAAGTATTTAGTGTTTATGTCTTTTTTGTTTTGTTAGTGGGTGGCTAGGATGGGGTACCAAGCAAGCCAGTCAATCAACAGAATCAACAAAAGCTACAAAGCCCAAGGTGGAAAATGGAACTTTTTTACCTGCCAGGTTTGACATTTGTACCACTATGCTGGAGCTCTTAGTGTATTGTAGTCATGTTAGGTTGCTGTTATCTTGGCTACAAGTAGACAATATCATTGACACATTTCTCAACACAGCTCCAGCCCCAGTTTAATAAACCCACTCAGTTCCACCATTAACGTTTACTGCATTTACCATTATTATTTATTTAGAAAATAGCCCAATAAAATTATGTGTGCTAGCATGAGCTGTTGATGTGATGATAGCACAAGCAAAGAGAATTTTCATTTTGATTATCAATGTAAACAAGTTGTTTTCTTTCTTTCTTCATGGGATTTTCTGAAAGAAATAGAAAACATGTTCTCCATGTTTCTTTTGAGGTAGAAACACTCATGCAAGTTTGGGAGAATTCAAAAAAGCTGTAGAAACACTCGCCTGTCGGCTTGTGTTCCCACAGCATTTCATGTACCTAGAAATACAGTACACATTTTCTATTTCTTAGTTGTGTCATACTTTCAAATAGAAGTTGGGTCATGGTATGATGGCTGAATTGTCCATGTCCAACCACTGTGCGTGAAGGCGTCAAACCCATCTCAATCTTTGATTACTACTGGACATTATTTTTGTCATAATTTTAAGTAGAAGTTGGCCATTATGTATGATGGCTATGTTCGTGTTCAACCACTGTGCTTGAAGTTGTGTCCATACTTATTATTTTTGAATAATTATCAGTGGCCTGCCATAGTTGAGACACAGAATAATACCAGCTGGACAAGTTTGGCCAAATTTTTTTGTGTGTCTGGATACAGTGTAAAGGTGGGCACAAGATGAGTCATGCAACTGGACTGACTATCTAGTGAAGGGAATCTTTAACAATGTGCCAGAGCACACACCAATTAAATATACACCTTTTGTTTGGTAGATTTGGTTTGCCCGACTCTCATCGGCACGGCACAAGCATCACAATGGCGCCAAATGGCCGCTTGGCTGTGACTACCGATGATTATGGTCGAGTTATGCTACTGGATGCAAAGAAAGCTATAGTGGTTAGATTATGGAAAGGTAGATTCAATTTTATTCTCAGTCTGTAATCAGCATGTGATATTCTTGTCTCAAATTTATCAAAAATTCATCACGTTTAAACAAAGAAAATCATGACCATGGCTGTGTTTGGATATCTGATCTTAATTAGCATAGATTTTAAACAATTTTATTTCTCGGTTTTCTCCTTATTTTTATTTTCTATTGAGAATATATATTAAGCGCTCAAGACATTGTTTGACCACATTTCCAAACACTCCAAAGTTTGTCAAGAATACTCCGTTATACATCATATTTTCAACTCTCATACGGGTGGAAATGTGGTCAAACACAGTCTTTTGTGTATGATATATGCCATACAGTGTAAACATTTTCATTCTATTCAGTTTTTGTCCCTAGCAATAATGCAGCGACAAGTGGACTAACTGTTTCATCAAGAGGAACCACAATGTTAGAATTACATTTTTCAGTGTTGCTCCATCTTCTGTTAGTTCTGTCTCGAAAACAATCCTCTCCAGTGACCATTGTGTGGCATGTTATAATGGCCACTAATTAGCCAACCTGGAAAGTTAAGCTCTATCCAATACTCCATTTTTTAATAAAATTGTTAAATATCCTCACTGCTCAGTTGTCTTTTGCAGCCTAAAATAATTATCGACTGATCGTCAATAAGAAATATTATATTTTATCACATGGCAGGCTACCGTGNTTTTTTTTTTCGGGACAAGGATTTTTTAGGTTTCTTTTTCATCTCAAAAAATGCCTAAAATTGCAGATCATCATTCTCTCCAAACACACATTTCAAATCATTCTCAACTTAATGCTAAGCTTAAACTCACTGGTATTGTTAGATTAGGAGACCTATAAACTGGAACAGGGGAGCTTATTAATAAGGGGGTTTGTTTATTATAAAAAAAAACCTTAGTTTAGTATATAATTTACATTTATCATACCACAAGCACTTAGCCAATTCTGGTGCAGGTGTAATAGAACTTTTCATAAAAGTTCGTTTGTACCCTTTTCACCTTTAATAGCATTGTCATCAGGTTAAAACAAAGGAAATCACGTACGTGAAGGAAGTTTGGATACCCGGTCTTAGTTAGCATAAATTTTGACAATTTTACTTCTCCGTTTACTACTTAGTTTTTGTTTCGATTGAGAAGATATATCAAACACTCGCGGCAGTGTTTCATCGGTTATCCAAACACCATGAATTTCGTCAAAAATTCTCCGCTGCACGTCGTATTTTCGACTCTCTTCTCGGTGTTTGGATATCCCGAAGAAACACTGTCTCTCGTGTGTGATATATTACTTGAGAAACAAGACTAACAGAACTTTGCATGTTTGTTTGTTTGTACCCTCTTCACCTATAACAGGGTATATTCTCAGTCATTGAAAATCAAGGAAAACTGAACGCGGTTTATTGTGAGATTAATTTGTTGTCTTGTTGTTGTTCGCAGTGACAAGCATAGCAAAAGAGTTAGGGATCTACACCTGTTAAAAAAGCTGTCAGTTCTTTTGGACTCAACAAGGTCTGGCCAAGGTAAATGAACCAGGAAGTAAGATCTTCACCTTGGGATAACATTCTATCTCTTAGGAAGACGTAGGTTACTATTGTCTTGTTTCTTGGCTTGTATCCTACGCAAGGTGAATTACATTTTTTTTTAAGGCTTTATTGGGTTTCAATTATCTTATACATAATTACGTAAAAAATAATAATAAACGAAAGAAGAGGTATAATAGTCAAAGGGGCAAGCACGAACGAGACCAAAGGACCCATGCAAGGTGCCGTCCAAACAGAAAATTTAGTTAAAAAAGCTAAAAATTACATAATTATATCTACTTATATGAATATCAAAAGGAAAGATTTAGACGGTGTGCGCTATGAACGATGGCATGCGCACGATCTTACAAGTGACCAAGTGCACGGGCGTTCCACGTCAAACGTTGTTCGCAAAAGGCTTGTCAGAGTTTGTTTTAGAAAGTTTTTGAAAACATCGATACTGTAAAGGCTACTTTTAGGCACAGATTTACAAGTAAAATTCCATAGGTTGACAATCCTATTAAAATAAGAAGCCTGAAATGCGGAAGTCTTGCAAATACTTATGGGTTTTTAAGTTGAAGGAATTACTTAGCCTTGTACGGCCATGAGTTACAAAATAAACGAAGAATGAAGGATTAATGGACAGAGGTAGAGGGGAGGAGGAATAAACAAATATCCAAGACACTGAAAGTATGTTGACATTGGTGCACTTACTATCATTTTCAGTCTTCTTTTCTTTTTTCTTGTAGGAAGTGAAGAAAATGATAGCAATAAACTGGAAAAAGCCTTGGTAGACATTCTGAGTGATATACAAACTCCACAACTTCATCAACAGGTGAATATTTTTGATTATCGCCGTGCTTTTCATAGTCACGCAATTTCTGGACCAAAAAAATCAACTAAGAATTGTATTTTTCATCTCCATCAATTATGATTACAACAACAATCAACAAACCTTGAAAAAAGTAAACAGAATGGATCCAAATCTGCCAATCGTAGCTCACGGACGTGACCTTTTGAACAAGTCGAAGTGAGCTATTTCCTGAGTGGTCCACTGAGACGATTGATGGCAGCGGAAAACAAAGTCGTAGATTGACGTTTAGAGTTGAAAGTTTGCGTGATTTGAAAAGCACATAAAAATAGTTTACAGTCTAGACACCCCACCGCCCTTAAAAAACTGACATTTGCCTATAGCATATATTGAGTCACAGGTTCCGTCAAAACTATGCCGGAGGAATTTGAAAATGGAGGTTTCACTCTGACTCTGGGAACGCATCAGATGTTTTCCGTCCACACTACGCCGGAGAAATTTAAACACCCAACAATCACTGGTCTTTTTTGGATTTGCGTTTGAGGAAAACTCGCTCAGGGAAATCATATGATTACCGTGACACTGTCTTTTTCGAAAAGCTCGATTATCAAAATGTTTTCCGTCCACACGAAAATGAAAAGTTCGCATTTTCATATTTTTCCCGTTTGAAGAGCATTTTCGAAAAGCTCCGTCTTCGTGACGGATTAGTGGGAACGGTACGCCTAACCGAGAAAATAAAGCTGCATTTTAAAATTTCTCCGGCGTAGTGTGGACGCCGCCATAAATTAAAACATTTTTTTTTCTAATAGCGCTATAGCGCGGTGATGATATAGTCTAAAGTGACGAGTACATAATAAGTGAATAGAAATAAATAAAGACTTAATTTAAGCAGGGTTAAACACTTACTAGCCAAAGGTTACTATACTTGTGGCCCTCGGAAAATAAAATTATAAACCTAATGAAAAATGAACAATACTTTGAATGCAAATATACATAATGTATCAATGGTCTACATAAATGTTACCTGGTATACACAATGAAGTCAATGAGTTTAGACACATGTTAACTTATTCTTGTAATTTTTGTATCAAGGGTCTACAGTGTGTCTTGTCCACTGTGGGAATTCCAGTCTCTGTTTTACTCCAAGCTGTGAGGACCGTCAGTGAAACAGCACAAAAGCAAAGTAAGTACATTGTTTATTGGGATATTTTACCAAACGTTTATTGCATTTTATGTCAGTCATATATTGGTTCCTGCTGCATCACCCAGCTCTCAAATATTTCTAAGGTTAGTAATTTAAGGTAAAGGTAAAATTTTTGTTAGGGCAAGTGGTCCATCCTGCCGAAGCTTGGCATGGTTTGAATCTCATTAAGCATTTGCACTCCCCCCTGAATGGGAGGCTAGTCCATTGCAGGGTTACCCCAGCATTAATTTTGCCAGTACAGGTATATATACCTAGATGAAGAGAGGTACTGTGATGGTAAAATTTTTTGCCCAAGAACACGTCGCAATGTCCCCGGCCAGGGCTTGACATGTACCCGTCAATCTGGAGTCCACCCCACAAACCGTGAGGTCACCGCGCCTCCAAGATGAAAAATAATGCCTCCTTAATCAAGCTTATGCTCAAAAGTTCATTGGCACTGATGTTTTGTTTGAACCAACCCAAGATCACACATCAGATGACCACGATGAAGTAAGAGAAGACACCAAACTACTGCTGAATTTTTGCGATGTACAGCGGCAACTTATACAAACACACAACTCAATCTTGAAACTGTATAAGGAGGAGCAGGGATCTGGGGAAGAGCCCTGGAAAGGAAAGAGCAAGGAACTGGTAAGGAGTTTGATCAGTTGGGTGAAACAAGTAGCAGTTGATTGTGAATTCTTGTCTCACACCCGAGGGCTGGGTTGTTCAAAAGCCGGTTAACACTAACCCGGGATTAATAGCTAACCAAAGTATTAATTTTTGTGGTATAAAAATGTTTTTCACTGCTTATGTTTTGTATAGTTTGAGATTATTCAAACTCAGAACTGAAGGGCAAACAAAATAAAGTGACAAACGTAGCGAAAAGTTGAAGTCAATCACAGGGAGCGAACGTCACATGCAAAACGGAAAGAATGACATGCGATGTGATGTGTTCTCATTAGTAATAATTCTTTGCCAAACGGTTCACAAAATTTTCAGTGACCTTAAAAAGATTGTTTACTAAAACCTCAATAATAATACAATAACCAGCTGATTTGATGTGCTACCTGGTAATTTACAGTCTTTAGCCAGCCTTCTTGGTCTTACAAAATCTGAAGCTGCCGAGCTGCTGTCTGCTCTACAAGGGAGCCAGTCCAATCAACAGACACCAGTGTCCAAGAAACCCACTCGATCAGTTCCTCAGATGAGTGTCACATCCTTCCTCGGATGTTTTGAGTACACTTCAAATAGCCACCAGGGAAAAGAATCAAAGGATTTAACGCAAGAAAACACAGCTGGGCCGTCACCAGTGACTCTGCCAAAGGCTGTTGCTATGAGGAAAGGCTTGTCCAACGAAATGACAATTCAACT